GAATATTTTTGGATTATTTTATGATTTTTTATTTTTTTCCTTCAATTTTCCCTATTTTTCGTAGAAACGATTGAATAAAATTGAACAGTAACAAAGAGTCTTTGCGTGTAGCGCCTAATGCGGTGGCGTCACTAAACTAACAGGGAGGGAAGCAGCGCCTCTAGCGACGGCGTTAGTGTACGAAAACTTTTCGCACTTTTAATGAAATCTAAAAATCTATCAAAAATTTAAACAAATCTAAAACTAATTATTTTAAAAAATTGTTATCATAACTACAAGAAGTTACAAACCTCAGATGGAAACATTTTTCATCTTTTTGAAAAATTCATCTTTGTTTTGAATTTTTTTATCTTGAATTTGAAAAAAATTATCTTTTAACTGGACAATATTCATTAACGATGAGTGATAAAAAGTTACGTCTGCGTGTGCCTTTCGTGTATAATATCGTGTTTCAAGTTTACCATAGAACGGTGGCCATTAAACATTCGTCAGATCAGTTAGCGTTTGTACTGGTTGGTTGTTTCTGGTACCCGAGGACTTCCGGTCCGGCGAAATGAACTTAACGGGCTTGTTTCCGTGGTAGATTGACTACCTCCGTTTTGTGATGTGCTCTAATCTCTCAACGATAACACGTTAACCCAGCTTGCTAATGGAGTTTAGAGTTTTGCGTGTTACCCATAATACACCTATCACATTTTCCTCAACTCTATTTTTTTTCTTTTTTTTTTTGTTAATTTAAAACAATTATTTTGTCAATTCGATCATTTCTTTATTGTGAAATTAAATATTCTTAAACCTGAATTAGAAAAAAAAATAGATAAATTTTTTGTTGTCACTAAAGATGGGCGAATATTTAGAATAAGGTCAATATCTACTTTTTGTTTCCTGAATTTTTAGTTTGTTGGTTTTTGGGTCGAATAGTCGGCGCGAGGTGATAAAATCGCACCTTGGGGTGAAGTAATTGTTATTAGTTTTTTTTCTTACTCCTAAGCTCTATTTGCAACGAACTAGTGAACTGACATTTGTCACGCGACAATCTGGCGTCAGAAATATAAAAATAGACGATGCGGGTAAAGAGAAGCAATAATGTTTGCTACATTGTATTGTAAAGGACCTTCGAAAAATCTAATTCTAAATTTTTTTCTTCTTCAATTAATAATTATTAGCAAAGAAAATTGTAAAATTTTGTACTTTATTTCAAATCGAAAAATATTTTACTACCTTTATTTTCGAAAATACTGGTATAGCGTATTTTTCTTTGACAATTTTGTTGTATTTATTTATTTCTAAAATTGATTTTTAAAAATTTTGCATGTTTGAGATTTTTTTATGCTTCTTGTATGTGTCTAATTCTATTCCACATTCAGTTGTGGATAGCGTCATTGAACTAACGCTAAAATTAAAATAGAAAAGAAAATTAAAGTAGAAAAAATATTAAAATATATAAATAAATAAAATTAAAATAGAAATTTGTTTAAAGCGCATTTGTATTTATTCTTATAAATATTATTTCGGTCATGAATATGTTTCAATTGAAGAAACAGTCAGCAACGAATTAAATAGCTGAATGAAGTTTATTTAAATATTTCGCGTTGCTCGTTCTCTTTCTACGTCTGAATTACATTCCGCGACACTATTAAGACACAAAGACACAAATCGGATTCATTTTGACTTTAATAGCGCATCTTTCCTATTGTGATATAAATAAATTGACATTGTTCGCCGTGAAGTCGAAATTTATTCGCACAAAAATAAAGAGCTGACTCCTCGTGGGAGCTCCCCTACACTCCAATACATATATATATATATATATATATATATATATATATATATATATATATATATATATATATATATATATATATAAACTTGTAAATGCAATTTATGGAATGCGTTGGAAAATACTCTTCTAAAGGTTTGTCAACATTTCTCGAGTCTTGAAACAAATTGAATTATTGAAACGAGAGTTTACTCTTAGTGCCGTTGCAATTTAATTGTTTCACACTCCGTGAAATCAATTTTCGTCTCTCTCTCGTGATTACAAAATTATTCTCGACAATTTCACTCATATTATTCAAAACTATTCGTCAATTTTCGATATTAATGTAATAATAATCGAAATTTTAATTCTTCGTATTGTTTTCTTTTTAGATTTTACTATTGAGGTTGATATTTTATTAGTTTATAATGTTTGTCTAGAATTTTTACCTCGAACTTTGTTTTTTGTGTACAGCGCTTCACGCGTCATTGGACTGAGGGTGGAATTTGCGCCTCTCATGGCGGCGTCAGTGAACTAGAATTGTTATTTCTAATCTTTTCATCTTCTTAATTTTTAATCCTTTTCTTAATTATATTAAATTAAATTTTTTATGTTGTTAAGTTAGTAAATACTAAAACTTCGTAATTGTTAAGAAAAATAAATTTATTATACTGATTAATTAACTTCATTAACTTTAGTTATTTGGCTAGAAATATTTTTTTACCTTAGCTTGTTTTTTAGACTACTTTTATAGATCCATTAACGGCTGAAAGACCTGTCGATATTCATATATATATATATATATCGTTGTTGGCTTATAACCGATACGACTCAGACTTCAGCTTTTCCGGATTATTTCCTCCTCGTCGCACTATTCCGTTGACGAGTCTCGACTCTTTCCAATATATAGCGTGATATTTCCTATACTGTGAGTCGTTTTTTCCTCTCACTTTTTTTTATTTGTTTTTCTCTCTTGTCGGAAAGATAGAAACTGAAATTCTACGTTTTGTGACTTTTTCCAACTTTTTTTTTGTTCAAAAAGGTTTTTGTTTCCTTGGAAATGGTGTTGTGAAAATTTTTTTGTTTGTTTAGTTTCATTGAAAATGAAAAATAGTGAATTGGTATTTTTAATAATTTTGTTCTTATAGGGAAAGTGAATTCAACTGAAATGAAAGTTTTTAAAATTTAGTTTTCAATTTGTGTGATGAAATGAAAAAAGAATTAAAGAAAAAAATAAAATTATTGAATTTGCGAATAGCGCCTCGCGCGGTGGCGTCATTGAACTAACAATTGAATTTTAAAATTAAATTAAATTAAAATAGAAAAAGTAGATGTAATTTTCCACTTGGAAAGTAATTAACGAAAAATATATCCACCAAAATACTGTGTCTAATTATTTTTGTTGTCGTGACTTGAGGGGTTTTAAAAACATTAAAAGAAAAAATAATATATAAAAAGATAGGTTCAAGAACCTTGTTTGTAAACGTACCTTTTTCCGATGATCTTATTTACACTGCCTTTCGTTTTGCTCTAGTGAACCAGAAAACCATCTCATTTTATATTTGCAGACAATGGACATAAAAAGACTTTTGACTTGGTCCAGAAATAATAAATTCAGTTGTTTTTGTCCTTTTTTTTATTACAAATTTTTATTCTGAATTCCCAAATGCGAATCTGAACAAAACTTCATAATTCCTCTTTTTATACTCAACGCAAGATAAATTAATTATTTTCACCTAAATTGCTAAAGGCCATTTCGTGATTACAAGCAATAATTCGTTTAGTTGCTTGTCACTCGTAAACAAACCGTGACAGTGGCTGGTAATTTTTTTTTTTTTTTTTATTAAAGTGATCCTCAACAGGGAAATAATTCCTTAATCAAATGGGGAAATTATTCTTAATACCTCGAGGAAAAATATTCATGGATAAATTTCATCTTCTATTATGTTTCTTAATTTTTATTCTTACTTTGCTATTCATGATTTTCGCGAAAATGAATGATTCTCGAAAAATCTAGACTCATTGAAATTATTTTTAAATCCCAAACACGCCTCATCGAACATTGCCCTTGTACTCGTTTTTCAATTGAATTTCTCTACTGTTGCCTACCCCATTTTAGTTCTCCTCTAAATATAGAATAAATGGAATCTAAAATTATGCTGATATTTTCCTTTTACTCAGGTATTAAATCAATTTTTTTTAATTTGGGAAAAAATATTTCTGCGATTGGGGTGATAAAAAATTAATTTGTAATAATATTGATGGGAAATGTGATTCCGACCACAAAAGGGAAATTTTATTCTGAAAATGATGTTTGGATGTGGGCCAATAGTTAAAGTAGGAGAGATTTTGTCATCTTGCCAAATTTATCTCGTACACGTGAGAAGTGTTATCAGTCGATCCAGTTTCTAAGACACTCCAGATAAGTGCTCTTGAAATAAAGAATTCTTTACTCTGTAAAGATCTCGTGACTAAATTCCTCGAAATATTGTAAATTGAATTGTAAACATTGAATAATTTATTTAGTCATTTAATCATTATTTTGGAGCAATTAGAAAACGATGGAGAGCATTAGATGGAAACGTGTTTTATTGGTTGACACAGTGACACGGTTGGCCAGCGATGAGGGCGCGCCTCTGTGTTTCAATCCCTTTTTTCGCTTGCTTTTCCCTTGCTCTATCGGTCGGACACTTTAGGCGCTCTCCCCCATGTGTACCCTTCTATTCAGAGTCTACCCCTTAGCGACGCATGCAACCGTCAACGACCCCCTTTTTCGCGTGCCAGACAAAACATAATGTTACGCTCGACTGAACTAACGTTTTCCTCCATACGTGCGAACACCACTTAAGTGCACCCGCTTTTTTCGCTTTCAAATTATTATTATTATTAACGCATAACCAAAATTGTCCACAAAGTTTGCCTTGCAAAAGTGTTTTGCTTCATGGTTTTATTTGAAATTTTTGTCTTGAAGATTTTCATTTTTCAAAGGAAAGAAAGAGAGGAATAATGTGAATTTTTCCAGGGTGGCGAGGAAGCTGAAAATGCGGCAGCGAGCAGTCCGACTGACAAGTCCGAAGTGAGCAGCCCAGTGGAATGTGAGGCGGCCGCCCCAGCGAAGGCGACGGAAGCTAAGGAAGTGGAGAAACCCGCCGAAGAAAAGAAAGACGAGGCTACCTCTGTGGAAAAGGAAAAGCCCGCCGAGAAAGTCGAGGCCCCTGTCGCTGATAAAGTCGAGGTCAGTGCAGAAGATCGGCCCACGACAGGCGAAATGTGCACCGTCAGCCACACGGAGCCAATCGCGACGCCATCTATCATTGAGAGGAAAACCAGTGAGGATCTCCCATCCCGTTTCCCATCAAGTCCTCCTCCAACGCCAATTGATCCTTCACCTTTGCAACAGGCTCAGCAAGCAGCGGCGAGCGCCACGGCCCTCGCCGAGGCTCTCAAGCTCCCTGCCGAGGCTGCCAGCAACCATCAACAATCCATCTCATTGTCGTCGTCCCAATCGTTTGACGAGCACACCGACACTCCCAAAGAATCAATTATCGCGAACGTCCCTCAAGTCGACCAGGAGGAAGCTAAAAAAGAATACACAACCAAGGAAACCCCCGTCCCAATTGACAACGATTCTACAATCGCTCAAGTCCAATGCGAAAAAACTACCAAAGAACCTAACGACGCTGTGAAAGCAGAAAACGAATTAGTTATCCAAACAGAAGAAGGTCCCATTCCAGTCACTGAGAACCAGACCTTCGAGGCCAGACCCGCGATGGTCATTCCCGAGGACAAGAAAGTCGAAATTCTCCTCGACGTCGGCGGTATCAAAGACGAAATCTCAAGTACGACAGTCTCCGATCAAATGTTCGCTGCCGGCGAAAAGATCCTCCCTGCCGAATGCAACTCCCAAGAGTCATTCACAAGCGCCAGTGAACCAATTGTAAGAACCAGCGAGGAATCCGACGACATTCCACCGCCTCTGCCCGAGTCACCAGCTCCCGCTCTTCAGGAAACTTCCAAGTTCCTCAACTTCATGAACGCGGAAATTCCGCCTCTGGACCTGCCCGAACCAATTCACGAATCTCTCATCGAAATTTCTCACCAAGTCCACGAAACTCTTGCAGAAACCCACCAAATTCCCGAAGGTGCTCTTGAAAGTTTATCAGAAAAAGTTCCCGAAATTTTGGCAGAAACCCAAAAAGAAGAACAAGTACCGGAAAGTTTCACCGAAACCTACAAAGTTCTCGAAAGTTTGGCAGAAACCCAAAAAGTACTCGAAGAAATACCCGAAAGTTTGACCGAAATTCACAAAGTTCTCGAAGTTGTTGCTGAAAGTTTGGCAGAAACGCAAAAAGTACTTGAAACACCCGAAACTTTGGCAGAAACCCAAAAAGTAGTCGAAACACCCGAAAGTTTGTCCGAAACTTTGGTAGAAACGCAAAAAGTACTCGAAACACCCGAAAGTTTGTCCGAAACTTTGGCCGAAACCCAAAAAGTACTCGAAACACCCGAAAGTTTGCCAGAAACTCCCAAAGATCTTGAAAGTACTCTCGAAACTTTGACAGAAGACAAAGTTCTCGAAGAAACCACAGATCACGAAAATACTCTCGAAACTTTGCCGGAAATCGCCAAAGTTCTCGAAGAAACTAAAGAAACTCCCAAAGATAAGAAAGAAATTCTCGAAGATAAGGATGAAAAAATTGAGATTGCCGATATAACCGACTCGCTCGAACTTCCACCCGTAATTCAACAAGAATTAATCACGTGCGATGATGATTCCTTCACCTATCCACTTCCTCCGGACGATGTGTCCACGAGGAAAGAATCCCCGAGAATTCCAATGGACTCCATTCTCACACCTCCCCAGAGTCCAAATCCTGGTAGTGTCAATTGCACGATGACGACGACCACGGGAACGTGCAATCTGGAGCCAATGTCAGAGAATGATTCCATGATGATGGAGAGATTGGCCGACAATCAAACTCAAGCGAGTCAATTGTCAAATGGCCACGTCGCAGCCGATGATCATCAGGTGATTAATTCATGCAACTACCTGGCATGAGATCAAAAAAATGGCAATCAAAAAAAAGAGAAAAAGAAATGATGCCTCCAAGTTCTACGTTATCTCGTCTTTTTTATTTTTTTATTTTTTTCATGACTTAAATCTCTTGGGAGCAAATCGAGTGCCTCTTGTGTAGCCCTTTCACCTTCATGAAACTTTTTCTTGATCCAATTTTTCCAATTTCCTATTCCCCTCCCAAAAAAAAGAAAGAATGTAGGTATATTCTCTGAGTTGTCGCCTTTCATTTTTCACCTTCAAAAAAATCACTTATTGGGAACACAAATATACGCAATTATAAACATTTTCGCAAATTACTCAATGAAACTACACTAACGGAGGTAATTATACGAATCCTTCTTTTTTGATGACTATTAAATAACTGTAAACTTGTAAAAACAACTACTAAAGTTTTTTTTCTTTTTGTTTTCTAACTAATAAAATTCTGAAAAAAAATTTAACTTTTCAATCAGACATTTAAAAAACAAACTTTTAGTTATTTGCCTAATTTCTGTATGTCTCAAAAAAATTAACGTTTTCTAACGTTCATAGGCTCATTTTAATCCTATTTTTTTTTATAGAATTGAAATTTTTTACAAGAATCTATCAACGTACATTCCTGAAAGTTGTAGCAAGAAAATTTGAAAAATTGAGAATTAAGTTTTCAAAACTTGATAAATCCTTTTTTTTATTTCGAGAAATTGAAACAATCGACTTTCCTCACTGAAGGTAAAAAATTTCAATATTATTTGTTTCAAGTCAAAAGTTATTTAATAGTCATCACAAAAGCAGCGGTCGCACAATTACCGCCTGTAGTGCACTTTTAGTCTTCTTTTGCGAAAATTGAAATAAAGACCATTCTGCATTTTGTTGGGAATATTTATAAGAGTTTTCAAAAAAAAAAATATTTTGTACTTGAAAAAAAATCATTTTTTAAAAAAATTTTTTCTTCTACTTGACACGTGCTTGTTTTCTAGACGACGAGGAAAAAAGGGGCAATTCGTGATTATTCTAATTGTCCTGGGAAAATATGCTTAAGACGGTAGAGAATGGCACGCGATTGATATGTTTTCGCGTGTCAAAAGCTATGTTTCATTAACTCTCACTATTCACTGTTGATCCTTATTCCTTTTTTCTCCTTCATCATAATCTAATCTTGGGATTTTTTTCCACTTACAGTTCTGAAGAATGTTTTTCCGACCAACACCCCTTCGCCCTTAAGACCGTTAACTATCAACGATTAACAACAAAATCAAATTTTAATGCTCGTTTTCTCCTATCCCTCAATGCCTCTGATCCTTATGTTGTTCACCTCTTGGTTTTTCTTTTAGAAATATTAACACAATTCGGGATTAATAATATTTATTGTTATTATAATATTTAATTGATAAATAATATAAAGAAAGAAAGAAAGTAAGGTATTTAAATGTTACGTAAAAATGAACGAATATTTTCCCTTCGATCTAATTGTTGACTTAATTATTTTATTCGCTCTCAATTATTTAGTGATAATTAATAATTATAAATAATAGTTAAAAATTAATAATAATAATTAAACAATTTACTTATTGTAGGATTTTACAAACAAAAAAATTATTGAAAAATTATTTATGAAATTCAATGGAAAATCGAAGCGAAAAAATTCGTTTATTAGAAAATTCAGAATTCCGAGATTAATGGGATGAGCTTATTTTTGGGTTTTAAGAAGACAAAGTTTTCTTGTTTCGTTGCTTATTTTTCATTTCAAATTTCAGTATTTCAATTTCGCTTTCAAAGTTTTTATTTAAAATTGAGATTTAAATTTATATTTAAAATTCAAATTTCAAACTTTATAATTCAAAATTTTTAATTGGAAATTCAAAATTTGTAATTGAAACCACAGAATTGAAAATTGATAATTCTAAATTCATATTTGATAACTGAATATTCATGATTGTAAATTCAAAAAAGGTAATTGAAACTTAGAATTTATACTTGAAAATTCATTTTCAATTTAAAATTCAATTTCAAATTGACAATTGAGAACTTAAAATTAATAATTCAAAATTAATAATTGAAAACTTAAAATTGATAATTAAAAATTCACAATTAAAAATTGATAATTGGAGATTTGAAATAGATAATTGAAAACTCATAATTCATAACTGAAAATTCATAATTGAAAATTGATAATTATTGTAAATTCAAAATGGATAATTGAAAAATTAAAAGTTGAAAATTGAAATTTTAAATATACAAATAATTTGAAAAAAGGGAGAATTTTACGCGTCCAATTAAAAAGAAAAGAAGAAATAAAATGAAGCAATTATTTTGAAAAATAACAAAGTTTTTCGACCGTTGAAAATGGTAGTTGTCACTGTTTTTTTGCTTTTCAATTACTGACAAACTATTCTTAAAAAAAAAACTCTCACCTGAGCCATTAATCTACATGTTGCTACTGTAATTGCATATGTTGTGCTGTTAGTATCTTAATCGCGTAATGCATGTTAAATCATTATTGTCTTCAGACAATGACATGAAGGAATTTCAACTCGTTACAGTACTTAAGGCATGATGAACAACTTTATTAAATTTAAAATCGATACCAGATTAAATCAGTTTCAACTCCAACTTCTTTTTTTTCATAAAACAAGACTAAGAATTTCGTTTCATTGAAAGTAGAAATTTTTTTTTTGTTTTCTTTTTTGAAAATAGAGTAAAAACTTTTTTGTTTTCATTTTCGAAAATAGAAAAACCATTTTTTCGTTTTGTATTTTCGAAAATAGAAACAGTATTTTTTTCATTCATTTTTGAAGATTAAATTTTTCTGTCTATTGCAAAATTATATTAATTAAATAATAAACTGATTTATAGTGGGATAAAAATAGTATTAGTAGAAAAAGAACTTTTTCTGCTAATGATAAAAAAAGGCAAAAACAGGAAAAATGAATTCTGAATTTTCTCTCTTGTTGGGTTATTTTTTTTTTTTTTTTGTAATTGTCCTGTGGCATGAAGAGTATTGGCTTTTTTTTCTCCTCTCCTTTCGAGGGAACCACTGAAAACTAACAAACAAACAAAAAAAAAAAAAAACAAACGAACATTTTTGCAGAGCACTTCCGAGCCCGAAGCTCCAGTGGAAAACAATGTTTCGGCAAATGAGGTCAGCACGACAGAAAGCGCTGATGAAGCTCCAAAGGTGCCACCACCTGCAGTGCCAGTAGAAGTGACTGTAGCACCAGCTCTTGCGCCCGTTATCACCGAGGATGTTGCCTCTGTCACCAAGGTAATTAAACAATTACTACTCTATTTACATTATTTCTCCTTTCATGCAAGTTTCTATTTTTCTTTTTTTGCCTATTTTTTTACTTTGAATGATGATCGCCCTAGGATCATTTTCTACTCGACGAGTGAAAGTGGTTCTGAATGTTTTTTTCTTGATAGAAAAAAAACAAAATTTGAAGACTATTGAGCGAGGGGCCATCTGACTTTTTTTGGACAATTTCTAGAAAATTCAACACAATTAAAAAATACCGAATTCTAATAATTTTTTTCGATTTTCAGGCAATTGAAGAGATTGATATCACCGAGAAAGCGGTTGCTGCTGCGGTTAAGGAAGCCATTGAAAACTCAAATGCTAATGTGAGTAAATTCTCTTTTTCTTTCTAATAAAAAGATTTTGAAAAAAATTATTCAATTATTTATAAATAAAAATATTTGAACAATTTATTTATTATTAACAACAATTTTATTATTTTAAACAAAAAGAAAGCATAAGATAAAAATTTGTTTTTATTCTGTTACAGGAAATCGTCGTCGACTCGAACCACCAAAGTCATTTGAATGAATAAAAAGCGTCCCTAACCGAATTGTATTTTGGGAAGAAGAAAGTTCTTTTCTCTCTCTCCTTAAAACCAAAAAAGTATATTATATAGATATGTATATTTGGACCATTCCTGCAACTAAACCGAAAAAATAACATTCTTTCGTTACAAAGCAGTAAAAAAATAGAAGAAGAGGCAACGACGACGACGATACATAAAAAAAACTGCGACACCACGCGAGAGCATACAGACTATTTAGTAGGCCTATTAATTGTTATATGGCATTTGACAGCGAATGATTACTGATGAATTAAAGCTGCGATAGCAACGGTTGAGTTATTAAATAAAAGAAAAAAAGTAAAGAAACTAACCGGCGATCGATTCAAAATAGAGAGAATAGTCGTTCGCGCGGTCGCTCGAGTGGTGATTCGTTATTTCGTGAGCCATCGCGACGATTGAAGAGTTTTTTACTGGGCCGTGCCCAGCGGCAGGTGGTTATTAATGTAATTGTCCTGCAAATGTAGAAATTTTACAAGTGTCATTAATTGTTATTAAGCTAAGATTTAAAAAAAACGAAGACCATTTACGTGGCGGGCGAGCGAACAAAAGGCGATGATTAATTTTCGGAGACGCGATGATTGGAATGTATCCCTCCCCCACACCCCACTCAAAACGGAAAAGAAATTTCATCGTCTACTCCGCGGGGAAATACTCAAAAAAATGGGGCGACAAAAAAACCCTCCCGTTACTACAATTAAACTGTTAAACAAAGAAAAATATGAAAAAAAGAAGCTTACAAAAAAACAACATTGTGGTCTTTTGGTGTGAATGAAAGAGTGAATGTTCGAGAGTAAGAGTTATAAGAATGAAACGAAAATTGAAGAGCTACAGCAAAAGAAGACAGAAAATTTGAAATATCTAAGTGTTGAACAAAAAAAATGGTGAGAATCGGTTCGAGAGAGAAAGAAAAATGAGTGAGTGATAAATATTGTCAGGAGAGAGAGAAAGCTCGCGAGCGAATGAAATAAAGTCATTTAAATGCATCGAGTACGATTCACATCGCGATTTTTTCCTTTTGATTATAATGTTCGTGATTTCTTTTGCGATCCTTTGTCTTCTTTTTGTAATTTGTACAATGAAAAGATTTTTGAACGTCGTAACGAGAAAATTACCGCACACACACACACTACCCACACGTAAAAAAAGAAGAAAACAAAACAAGAATTATTGGACTAATTCTAAGCACACAAACACAAAAAAAATAAATAAAACAGCCACGTACACTTACCACTGAAGACATTTTTGAAATAAGAATAAGTAAGTCGAGCAGCGTAAGTGATATAAATATATATAAATATATCTAGATATAGAAGATGCATTTGTGTAAATTCGGCGTTTGTTCGAAATGCTACTTCTCCATACGAGAATCGCTTACGACGAACTATCGCGTAATTTTATGATAATCAATTTAAAATATCGCCTAACTACGTTAATAAAATGAATAGACCCGCACAACAACCTGAAACGGTAAAAAATAAACCTTTTTCAACTTTTCATACAACGTTTTCTACGTTTATACGGATCTCCAAAAAAAAGTTAACGAGTAATGACGGAAAGATATAATTTCTTTTTTTTGTTTTAAATATTTAATGGTCGTAGGCGTGTAGATTATCAAAGTTTTTAAAAACGTGAAAACGCATATACATATATGCCACGGATCTGAATATTTCTAAGTGTTAGACGAGCGCAAAGGTCATTAATGCCTATGACCGACATTGATTTTATACGATATATATTAATGATTAAGGAGAAATGGAAAAAAAATAATAAAATTAAACAAAAGTTGTATAGTAAACCTTATTCGTATGGAATTTCATTCAAGTAATTGTCTGTGAAATGAATATATTTACAACGAACAAAAAAATGAATAAAAAAATACAAAGAGGAAGAAAGAAGAAAAGAGACAATTCGTCGTTTTCTCGTGGTACAGATTTTGTAAACGACGAATAAAGAGAATTAAAAGAAAGAAAGAAAAAACATAGGCGCGTGGTCTCTTTATCGTTTCGATTCTCGAATCCCGACCGATTTGTGCACCTAACGCTACCGATCGTCATCCTTTTTGAAACGTTTTCATAAATCAATGCACTTTATTGTATTTTCCATATATATGAATATTTGAAAAATCTTTACACAATTTTGTGCATTGATTGAAAACGATTCAAATAGAAAGAAAAAATATAGTCTTCAGCATCTTTCATCAACAGTTGTAATAGTAATTAAACTATTCTACATTTATCTATAACCTATAATAAACTGTGAAACAAGTGTACGAATTCCTATCTCTTTATTTTACATCCCTTTCATTTTTGGCACCATTTTCCTCTTTTTCTATTAAAAATATCATTGATATTCAATTCCTTTCGAGAGAAAATTTTTCCTAGTCTGCAAGAATTACAATTTTCATGTTGATCGTAAATTTTGTAAATGAAATTTACTTTTTATTTTTAAATTTAATTAATTAATTATATTTCCAAATTTTTAATTTAATCTTTTTTAAATTTCTTTGCTTTTTTAGGATTAAAATAGATTTGTAAAAATCGAAGGATTTTTACAATTTACATTGTAGGTGTAACTCTTCGTGGTTTTTTCTTCAAAGTTCAATGTGAATTATTGAAAATATAACCAAAAATTTTATAGATAATTTTAAAAAAATATAATAAAAATTCATAGAGTATCTTATAAATTTTTTAAAATAATTTTTGAATTTTAATAGATTTTTTAATTAAGATTAAAAAATTTCCATATAATTGAAATTTAAAAAAAAATTCAAAGAATTTTAGTAAAAGATTTGAATCAAGTTTTCGAAGAATCTTAAAAACATTATAAAAAATTTATTGAATATTTTAAAAATATTTTAAAATAATTTTTGAATTTTCATAGGTTTTTTAATTAAGTATATAATATTGAAAAATTTCCAAATAGGTAATTGAAAATTAGAAAAATTTTTTGAAAGAATTTTAAAAAAACATTTGAATTAAGTTTTCGAATGCTTTTGGGTTAGAATTCGTGAAATTTTCACAGAAAATAAAAAGTATTTTTTTTAAATCGAAATGTTGAAAAAACATTTCTATTTGGCCTTAAGAATGTGTCCACCAAAAAAAATTATTTTTTATAAAAGTTATTGCAAAATTAATTTTTTTGCAACTTTTTAAACAAAATTTGATTTCTCCTAAATAAATAAACCGATTTAAATGAACCAAGCAGGAATATAAAGGGGATAAAATATACTTTCGTTCAGAATTAGAAAATTTTTAAAAAGTTTATTTTTTAATAATTATTTAATACATTTTTTATAAACAATTAATTTTTTTTAATGTTCTACGCCTTTTAAAAATTTGAAAAAAATATTAACATACACTTAAAACTATAAGAAATCAAAATCCGTTAAGAAAATTTTGGAGCAACAATTATTTTAAAAGTTATAATGGAAATTATATTGAACGGAGATGCGATTTTGATGATTTTCAGTATAAAAATATTATTTTTAACTACGAAATGAACAAAACACTGTCAAATTAACATTTTTATTTAATTATGTAACCATAAAAATTGATAAAAATGATCAAAAACTAATTTCAGCGTTGATGCACTACACCGCGCCAATATAATTTCCATTATAACTTTTAAAATAACTGTCGCTCCAAAATTTTCTCAACGGATTTTGATTTCTTATAGTTTTAAGTGTATGTTAATATTTTTTTCAAATTTTTCGATTTAAAAATAGTTATTTATGATACAAGTGCGTAAAATCGTTGATTATACGAGTGTGACGTTTGCAGCTCGAGCCGAAGGCGAGTGCTGCAAGTCACACAAGTATAATCTGATTTAGGCACGAGTGCCATACGAAATTTTTTGCAACACTACAACAACTAAACTTGCAGCAATATTGCCAATATTACTGTAACTTTAGGTGTAGTGGGGGAACTGTTAAATGAAGTTTTCTAGAAGCTAAAATAAAAATGTGATTGTAAATTGTTAATTAAAAGCATTATTTCATTGTTTCTCATCAAACAGTCACAAGAATGCGTAAAGTAACCTTTTTACGCACTGAAAATCACTTTACACACTGGAATTCACTTTACACACTGCTAGCGGTGTGTAAAGTAACACTTTACACACCGCTATAAAAAGAAGTACTTTACACACAGTTTTCTGTGTGTAAAATTCAATTTTACAGGTTAGTGTTGCAAAAAAATACTTTTTATTTTCTGTGAAAATTTCACGAATTCTGACCCTTGTTTTTAAATATTGTTTGACAAATCGAAAATATGCAGATAGTTTTTCATGATTTATAATAAAATAATATTACAAATTTTTTTAAAAATTATGATTAACAATTAAAAAAAACCGCTGCCAAGTTGTACATTTTTATAATTTTGGTGTTCATTTCATGAACACTTTGCTTCCTCATAGAAATAATAATAATTGAAATATAAGAATTACTTTTTATAAAAGGGTTAAAAATCATTAAATCTTGGTCCAAAAAACGTGTTTTTATATATTCTTGGTATAAGGTGGTTATAATAGTTTAATAATTACACATAAATTAATAAACAAGAATGTTGAAAAAATGATATTTTCCACAATTCTTGATTTTTCAAATACCAATAATTTGATAATTTCTGACCGAATAAGGTTCAAAAATAGGTCAATCGAAGCGTTTTTTCATGCTCTACAAGTTGGTAATGATACTTTTACATTTTTCAACAAAATTTTCAAAAAAGTATTATTTTCGAAAAATTTAGATTTTTATAACTTTAATATCTCTGGCTAATATGGACGAAAAATGTTCACTTAAAGGCTAAAATGAAACTGAAAATTTATGAATTTTTAGAAAATAAAGGAAAAAATTTTATTGAATAAAATGTTCTGTTAAATTTATTTACGAATATCTTTAAGGATTGTCACCGGCAATATAAGGAAATGAGAGAAAATTATAAAAATTTGACAGTTTAATCTTTATATAATTTTAGAAACATATGATTTTTTTCATAATTTTTTGCCACGTAGTTTTTTCTTAAAAAAATAAAATAAATTTGCAATTTAACATAGGCTCTTATGGGAGCTCAGATAAATCTTAGAAAAAAAGTGTGAAGGAAATGAGAGAAAATTCTGTGGTTTTGTATATGGATAGACAATGTCAAAAAGTTTAAACTGGAAGATTTTAGAAAAAGTTTACCGCAGATTTAATGAATAAATAATTATTAAAGTTTTAGTTTTCAGAACAGTAATAATTGTATAAGTATCAAACACAAAAACACATGAAAATGTGGCAACATCGCAACAACACACAACCTCAAAAAAATACAAATTTGATCTGTACATTTTTTTGGAAATTTTGACCCCTCCTCCCCTTCTAGTAAGATATTTTACATACATTAGCGCCATTTTTTCTATTGTTCGTAAAGGCCAACGCAGAATAGATCTGTAACCGGAACCGCAATCGTAACCGTAAGCGTAAGAATGAGTTAGAGAAGGATAAACAATATACCTATCCTTCTTTAACTCATTCTTACGGTTACGCTTACGATTGCGGTTCCGGTTACAGATCTATTCTGCGTTGGCCTTAAGGGTGCAATCCCATTACAGCAGAATACGTCGACCGAAAACAGAAAATCATGAGTGCGAAAGAGATAGATAGATATTGTTGTTCTTTTCACTCTCATGATTTTCTGCTTTCGGTCGACGTATTCTGCATACATGGGATCGCACCCTAAGAATTTGCTGACCCTCCCATCCCTCTCAATTTCTTACGTAATTTATGGACGGCCCCATAGGAATTAAAATTTTCAAATTCAAACCTTTTTGAAATTAATCAACTTTAAAAAAATATCGTTATAAAACATAAAGATAACGATTCCCAGTAAACAAAAACTAATTGAAATAAATTAAAAAGAATTCACAAAGAGTTTCAGTGAATCCCGCTTTGTGACAAATACGAATTGGAGCTGTGTTGCAAGTTTCCTGAATGCGTCAAACTGTATATTGAACTTACAAACCTTCTATCGATTGATCGATTTAAATATATATATATATATATATATATATGTCGTAGGCAGATAGCATAATCCGGCAGTAGGCAATGTGACGAGCGACTGCCATCTCGCTCGTTAACTTTTCGATATATCGATTAACGAGTTATCGAAGCGCGAAACAATAAAATTTCGTTAATAATCTAATTATTTTAGGATTTTCTTACGACTTTTGACAAATATTGACGAGACTAAACAAGAAAGTTTGACTATTGTAAAATATAATACTTCACGGTTTAATAGTTTCCAAATTCCAAAAATGTATTTGAAAATCAACATTTCTTAGAATTGTCATAAATCAAGTGGAATAGCGAAAGAAAATGTAATCTCTAGTTTCTTTAGTCATAAAACCGAGAAATTCTTGAAAGAATATAAAAAATATCTCAAGTGTCCTTTTCCATAGGACAATGCAACATGTGTTTACCATACTTGTGACCACAGAAATGGCTTCGAAAAGTCACATACACATAGACTTTCATTATGCGACGAAACTTAATTATCAATTGTATAATATGAACGTTATGAACAATTAACAACAATATTATATTGTTGCTAATAGTGCAGCATGAATGTATTATTTGAAAATGATATTATTAGTAAACTTTATCTGATTGATTGTTGTAATATTATGGTATTGGATATATATATATGTATGTATGTGTGTATATATGTGTGTATATACACACTAAAAAAAAAGTTTTACTTTTAGCCTGTTTTCGAGGCTGAATTTAAGGTGTAAACGGAGTCAGACTTTTTTTTCTTGTGTATGTATATATATATATATGTATGTATATGTGTATGTATGTGTATGTGTGTGTGTATATATGTATGTGTATGTGTGTATATATATATATATATATATGTCGTAGGCAGATAGCAGAATCCGGCAGTACACAGGAAAAAAAAAGTCTGACTCCGTTTACACCTTAAATTCAGCCCATGTATTTCACATAAGTCTGTCCTTGTTTAACGGGGCTGACTCCGTTTACACCTTAAATTCAGCCTCAAAAATAGGCTGAAAGTAAAACTTTTTTTTTAGTGTGTATGCAAACTACCTAGGCAGTTTGTAAACCGCGGGCAGTTAGTAAAATACCTAAATTTGAATGTATGAAAACAGGCAATATGCAAAATGCCTAGGCAGTTTACATACTGCCAAAGACGTTTCAGGCAAATAGAAGAATGTATTGAAAGTCGCAAATTTTTTTAATTAGAATAACTTATTCTAAAGGAAATACAACTTT